AAATACATTCTCATTATCTTCTACCTTATTCCAATCTTTCTCTTAAATACTTTCAACCATATTTTCTCAAAGTTTCAACCATAATTTCATATTTTCTCAAAATTTCAACCACAATTTCATATTTTCTCAAAGTTTCAACCACAATTTCATATTTTCTCAAATACTTTCAACCATATTCCAATCTTTCTCTCAAAGTTTCAATCCAATTGTTTTCCAACAAAATGACTAATGATGCAGGTACGAATTGGACGCTTCTTGAAGATGTTACGTTGTGTTCTAACTGGGTTGAAGTTACTCATGATCCGATTACGGGTAATGAGATGCAGTTGCGAGAAATGTGAGTCTTATTCATACCAATTATCTTGAGAAAATTGATGGGAAAAGAACCAAAGAATCGATGTCCAATCGTTGGAGAATACTCAGCCAATCGTTTAGTCTTTGGAGAGACGTCTTGGCACAAGCTAGTGCTAATCTTTGAAGTGGAGAAAATTTAGTGGATCAGGTAACAATATATTATTATAAAATGCCTTGGCACAAGCTAGTGCCAATCATTTTCTGTCCCCATAAACTCCTTGCCATGCACTTGGACAATTTTTTCTGGTCTAGTGCATATAGTCGATGCTTCCAATCATCCCAGGAAAACATCGCATCTCGGCTTTTTTCAGAAGCATTTACAAGTCTATCTCAGTAGATCTCCGGAGGTACTTTGCGGTGTAGATAGATTCGATTACGAAGAAAAACCTCATCAGGGACTCAAGAAAGGTTGATTTCCCCATCCTCGCTATCTCATCTACTTGGTCTGCAGAGGCTCCATATGCAAGCATCCGAAAGACAGCAGTAATTTTTTGCTCAAGAATGAGACCTATAACACCAAAAGCATCCTTATTGTGCACAAAGTAAGAATCATGGTTGCAAACATCAATCATGATTTTGTTGAACAAATGTCGTTCCATTCTAAAACGACGTCTAAAGTACGTATTAGGGAATGCACTGTTACGAACAAAATAATCGTCCAAGAGATTCGTACCTCGTCGTTGCCTGCTTCTACCAAGGTTTGTGGAACGGCTGGGCCTGCAGTTCTGAGCCACAATTTGGATGACTTGACGGGAATGTGAGGCTCTTTTGCTTCTTGCTTCGTCATTTCTCCCTCTACGCTCCTTATCCTTTTCGTCTTCCATCTCATTTTGGGCCACCTGGAGATTGAACATTTCTTCCCCTTGTTTAAACAATTCTTTCTCTTGCTCCTCGATTTTCCAAAACATCCTTGAAGAAGAAGACATTGTATGAAGGAAGCAGAAACTATGAATAATGATACAAATTTTGATTTTGGTGAAGAAGGAAGCATAAACTATGAATAATGATAGAGATTTTGATTTGGGTGTGTGATTTATGGTTCTCGATGGTGGGTTATATGGAGGAAAAAGAAATGATTAGGTTGTAGATAATGTCACGTGGCATGCCGTCATTCGTTAAAAATCTGATCGAAATATATCTTCAAAGATTGTCTTGATATTGTGACACATGGCGCGGTGTGATTGGTTAAAAATCTTATCGGAAATCTATCCTCAACGATTCTGAAAAGGTAACAACACGTGGCATGACAACATTGGATAAATATCTTATTGAAATCTATCACCAAAAATTGTCTTCTCAGATAATGACAAGTGGCGCAATGAGAACGATTAAAAATCTTATCCAAAATCACAAATAAAATTATTTTGTACTATTTTATAAAATAAAAAATACTAATATTTTATTGCCTATTGCCATGGCTGTTCAGTGTAGGGGTCGAGATGCAAAAGATAGTTATTGTTCATTAAGGCAGTTCAATAGTGACTTGCCCTAAGGGGCTTTTGTAATGGTGGAGTTGCTCTTATAAATAAACAACACGAATTTAGATGTGACTAAAAAGTAAAAAACGTAAGCTTCTAAAGTTGTATTTGCTTGTGCCAAAAAAATATTTGTAATCTTAGTATTGTGTTGTATTCAAAAGATATATATAGCTTTTTTAATGTACATGAAGCACAAGAATGTGCATTATGTGTCATAATATAAGTTGAGATAATATATATTTTTGAGTGTCATGACACTTGTATTATAACACGTGGTGTACTAGTTCGTTTTTTAAGTATATTGAAATTCTTTGGTTGGATTCTTGTTAGGCTAGAAAACGGGTCGTGCTTGTCGCTTTCGTGTTATACTCGTTATCTTAACCAGTTGTGTCGTGTCGTGTCAAACCCTATAAGGTATTAGGTTCTTAATAGGTGACCCAAAATGATCTAATTCGTTAACGGATCATGTCATTTAATTTTGTGTCGAGTTAACAGGTCATGCAAGAAATTGTCATACGATCTAGCACACAATATTTTGTCGGGTACTTAACGGTTAACCCGATAATAACCCAACACGTTAACGGGTTATCCGATAACGACCCAAATCGTTAATAGGTTGATCAAAAACCTGTTATTTTCGTGTCGTGACGAATTAACAAGTCGTGTAAGAAATTGCTAACCCTATTTCTTGCACAATACAAAATCAAAATTAAACATTTCGTTTTGGTTGGCTGAGTCTGCACTAGTATAATTTTTATTGAATTAATTATAAATAATGACTCATTCTGTTAACCAAGTTGCTTAATTAGTAAAGTCAACTGTATATGTAACAGCTGGTTGCATTGCAAGTTGTAGAAAGGTTTACAATGTCAAAGCCAAATGTTTATTCCTTAGTTTGTTTGATTGTTTGGAGAAGTTAGTCAACATGACAACAACATAGCATCAGTTAAACAAGAACAACCTACCCACTTACCTGCCGATGCAACATCCATTTCATCATAAAATCAAAATAAGAAACAAAGAAATGATATTATTTCAACAAATTAATGGATCAACATGATTATTAGACTACCAAATTATCATAAAATTTGGGTTTTTATTTATTCGATCAAAAGTTTTTTGATAACCATTTCGTTTTACTTTTTATTTGAAAAAAAATAAAATAAAATAAGAGAGAGAGAGAGAGAGAGAGAGAGAGAGAAGTGAAACTACTTTCTCTAGTTTTCAAATTTTGGTTTTGAGTTTTTACTTTTTAGTTTTCAATTTTCATTTTTTTTTAAATTAAAATAATTACCAAAGTTGTTAGAAGTGGACTTTTGGCCCGTCTCTCTGATAATTTCTACATAGTATCAGAGTTAGGGAGCAGATCTGTATTGCCACACGATAGGCGAGTCCCCTGGGCCCTACGCAATGATGGTGAGTCCCTTAGCCTCGCGTGTACAGTCAATCCCCTTGGCTTCATGTGGTTGCCGAAGTGTGGATCTCCCACATATGACCCACTAATCGGGTCTCACATGAGGGGACATGTTAAAATATTCCACATCAACCGAATCTCTGAGAAAATAAGAGTTTAAATATCTTAACCTCACTCTAACTAATACCGAGGCCTTTTGTGATAAAACCTCACACTTAATAGATTGTGTATGTGGTAATTACCAAATTGGGGACAATATTGGTATTGTTGGAAGTGGACATTTGGCCCGTTTCTCTGACAATTCTAAAACGATTTCATTCTGAATATAAACACAAGATCAACACCAGGAAGATGAGTAGAGACTGACCTAGAATGAAGATTCAAGTCACGTTAACAAACGACATCTTCACACATATTTTTATTCTCAATAAATATGCAGAATGCAATAATGTGGTAATTAACTAATTAAATTCCCTCCTTAAACCACCTTGAATCTGAATATGTGGATGGTGAATTTGGTGGTGAAAAGGACATGAGGAGAAGGCATAAATTATAGGTAAGGTGCGCTTTTGGTGTGTGTTGAATATGAGAGCATGAACGAAGGGGACATTACATCTGGACAGAGAACAATGCATGAGCAAAACTTACGCGTATGCCAGCCGTATGCGTGTATGTATATCCAAATTTGTACCAAACGATGGCTTTTGGGAGATTGACTTATATGATACACACACACACATACATTTTTACGGTGATCTTTCGTGTCAATGAAATAAAGATATGTGTAAATTGATGCACGTGTCCTTTTTTTCATTGACACAAGACGTCACACAGTGCACCTGTATCACACAGCTGTATCATGTTAGTTAATTTGGGTTGTTGGATATGGAAGAGGTTGGATGAAGTTAGACACATGCAGTTGCTTAGAAGCTACATGCTATTCGTTTTTTGTTTTCTTTGCCATCGGTGCATTGCCATTCTTGTGTCTTTTGCTTGTTCAGCTTGGCAAGTTAATTAAAATGTAATTAACTAGTTAATTTAAAGTATTTAATTAAGGAGTTAGGGAAGGGGTGCTTTATTTGATTGAATTAGAATTTTATAGATAAGAATAGTTCATCCACGACCACGAGCCATGCCATGTCAAAGCTGCTACTTTTTTCAGCAAACCCTAGCTTTTGTTGCTTACACGGAAATTTAAACCCAGCGTTTCTTGCCACCTAACCTGAGGTCTGTAGAACTTTTTTCACCAGTAACTGCCATGGTCATGTCGTTTATGCACGAGTAAACAATTACTTACAAAAGTATCTCGCAATGCAATAATTAACGAAGGTTTGAATTAAAAAAAAATTGAACTTTCCACGTGCAAAGCCACTAGACTTTTCCTTTTAATCTTTCGGGCCCACTTTAATTAGATCCCCAATTTCCATGACTACATAACTACATCTACTGTAATAGGAATATCAATGAACGATTATTGAAATTGCTCAGGATATGCCTTTTTAGTTTGTAGAATTTATTTCTTAGTTCAAGATCTCTCTTACTAAGTCCCAGTTTGGGATTGAGGTGATTTTAAAAAAAAGTGCTATGAAAAAAAGCTGAAAGAGTTTTTGGTGTTTGGTAAACACACCAAATCAGTTTTTTTTCTTAAGTTTTAGATGAAAAAAAAGCTAAAAAGTGGAAGCTGCAAAAAGCGGCTTAACAAGTGAAAAACACAGAGCTACAGTAACTTGTTAATGAATTTTTCAATTTGCCAATATTGCCCTCCTTTCTCCTTTCTCATTTCACCTAATTCCTCACACTCTCAGACTCTTCTCTCTCGCAAAACACTCTCTCCGCACACCCTCTTCCCTCTGTTGCCTGCCGCTGCTCATCTTCCTCTCTCCGTCAGTCTCAATGCCACATACCAAGCAACCAGGTACTCCATTTACTTGAATATATTTGTTGTAATTAATTAATTTAATTTAGTTAGGTTAGGGTTTGGCTGCTTTCTCAGTTTGCTTCTATTTTGTAGTTTAATTTTAATTTAGGGTTTGGTTCTAGCAGCTAACATGGATGATGAACCGAATTTTTTGGGGTTTTCTGAAACAGGGTTTATTAGGCAACCAACAAACGAGTTAAGGCGAACATAGGCTCGATCTCATCGATTAGGTAAACATAACTCTCTCTCTCTCTCTCTCTCTCTCTCTCCCATCGTTGAAGCAATTGCAGTTTTGGTGTTTGAATTAATTATCTAAATTTCAGTTTTGGGATTTGAATTAAGGTTCTAATTATTATCATGAGATCCATGAAGCAATTTCAGTTCTTAGGGTTTCATTGGCAATGATGGTGTTGCTCTAAATATATGTATGGATTATATATTTAGGATTATGTTGCTCTAAATCTAAGTAGTTTAATTGTTTGGATTATGTGTTCCTGAGTTGGTGCAGTGATGATGTTGCTCTAAATATATGTCTGGATATATCAGCCCGACAGAAGAGCAAGGAACCCAATTCGTTTTGGTGCGCGGCCGAGTTTTAGCACTAAGATGATGTGAACATTTGTTTGATGCTTCTATTGAGTGCAGGAACGATTTGTAAAACGGCGGGACACACTGATTGGCCCCAATTCGTCCACTTTGAAGGTGCACAGAGTAAACCAGATATCATGTTCGATAATGCAATTGTATTTGATGCAATTATATGTGATTTCACATTTCATTAGATATATCTTTGTTCTGTTTCTCTAATCTTTCACAATATAATTTTGGACACAGGCACTTGAAATACTTACGGGCTGTTAGATAAAGCTGCTGCTTCGTCATTCCAACTCCCAAGACACTTCCTTCTCCACCCACCATTTAGCTCATATACAGCACAAACATCCGAACTGCTCTCTCTCAGTCTGAATCTCAATCTGTTGCCGTCTCTCTACTCTGCTCTGGTGAACTGTAAGAACCCAAATCTCCTCCTCTTTTTCTGCCCTTTTTTATTTTTAATTTTTGTTTATGTACTCTGTTTGTTTCTTAAACACACTACCTGTTTCCTGCAATGTGGAGATCTTAGAAATTTAGAACGGCATAAAGCAAGTGTTTGTTTCTGTACATGCAATGCATGGCTTGCTTCTGCTTCTGCATGCGAGTTGCTTCCAATTCCTGAAGACTAGCTCATCTTTTATGAAATCTGAACCTAAGGTTAAGTCCTCCTACCTCTGTCATTCTAGTATACATACTCTCTCCATATGGTTTATTGATTATTCATCCTCAATTGAATGTGTTTTCACTATCTTTCTTCCATCACTTGATGCATGAGATGTTTCAAAACCAAATTGGACAGCTATTTAACTAACTTTTCTTTTGCATGTCATGTACGACTTGTGCAGAAGAAGAACAAGAGAGTTGAGAGCTCAATGGGTTTGCAAAAGGAGAACGAAGATGTTATCCACAATTGAAGGTTTTTTTAGCTGCAAATCAAGGGTAGACAAAATGCATAGGGTAGACTTTTTCAATGTGTCTAGAGGTGTATTCGACTTGTTAGCGTCTAGGATGTTTATGTTATTTTTGAGACTTCACTTGGTGCATGTATTCAACTTATATGATTAAATTCTTGATTAATGAAAATGTGATTAACTAAAGTATTACATTACATTTGTTATCAGTTCTAATTCCAAATTATGAACAAGGATTATGTGGTAGTTGGTTCATCACACACTAGAAGCAAATAGGTATTGGATTTTGACATATGTGATGCACATTACACCACATATCAAAGGAATAAGTGACGATTTCAGTGTCACTCACATATATGATATGTGACGAATTTATAGGTTATTGAATTTAGTGTTTTGTGACGCTTACTTTGTCACATATCTCCTTGAACCAGGTATCCTAATCAATTATAGCTCACATATATGATATGTGACAAATTTATAGGTTATTGAATTTAGTGTTTTGTGACGCTTTTGTCACATATCTCCTTGAACCAGGTATTCTAATCAATTATAGCGGCAAGTTTGATGAATGCATCTAATTAGACTATTTTCAAGTACATTAACAATATTGTACTAATGAATCCTAGCTATTCAGTCTAAAATATTTCAATTGAAGTAGTTTGTCATACTAATTAATATTTAAGATAAAGTTTATAAATATTTTTCTTTTAAAAATAAAGTATATTTAGTAATTTACCTTTATTTGTTAAGAAAATTAAATTAATAGAACATCTAGTATTATACATTTTTTGGTCATTTCACACAGTCATAGTTGTTTTACATAAAAGTTTACCAAACACTTTCATACTGCTTTTTTTTTTCCAAAAGCACTTTTACAAACAAAAGTTTACCAAACACTCTGCTGTTTTATTTCACAACTGCTTATTCTCACAGCACAGCAGAAACAACCTTTTTTCAAAGCACAACAATACCAAACCAACCCTAACTAGAATCAAAGAATTGCCAGTCGGTAAACTTTGGGTTTCAGACGTAAATGAAGGTTTTAATTTGTTTTAATTTGTTTTAATCAAAACGCAGCCACGTTGATCATTTTTTTCAATTCAATAATATATTGTCATGTAACAAAGCAACAATATTTTCTCTAAGGCCTCGTTTGAGTAGAGCTGACAATTTGTACCCTACCCGTTTATCCAAACTAACTCATCTTCCTCTTTCATCCACCGTACTTTTGCCAAAAACCTCTCCATCCCTTGAAAGGTGTTACCACCCATGCCTACCACCCATTAGCTTAAGAGTTGGGTTTGAGTGATCCGTTAGTTTAACGGGTTAGTTTGGGCGACCCGTTGACTTAACAGTTTGGTTTGAGACTGACCCAAACCCCATAAAAACGACCCGTTTGCAGGTTTACGTTTGACATCTAGGACTTAATTGGAATGACAACTTGTTACGTTCAAGGTATGATAATAAAAATGACAAAACTTTCAGTGATGCAATTGAAACCCAACAGGAAGATCCAAAATTGTAGCGGCCAACAATGCAAATATTGATCCATACAAAAATGCAAACCAGAAAAGACTTAAATTGTCAGAGCAAAACAAGTTGAGTAAATTGTTAAGATAGGAAGAGGAAGAAAACTCATCGCTTTCCACCACCACCTCCAAGCTTGGCGGCCTTGGGAGCAGCAGCCTTGGGCACATTTCCCTTGGACTGGCCCTTTGACTTGGACACCGATTCCGCCTTCTTCGCCTTCTTCTCATCTTTGGTCTTCTTAATCCTCTCCTTAATTTCACTGCCAAATTCACACGTGCAGATTTAAATGAGCTAACAGTGTCCTTGTTGAACAAAACCCAAAACTGAATTTCTCGTCCTAATCAATTGATTGAATTTTTAACAAATACACAAAAATATGAAAGAGCAACAGTGCATGTTGAACAAAACCAATAATTGATCAACTTAGAGTGTGTCTGGGAATGCTTTGGTAAGGCAAAAAGCGCTTCTGGATACCAAAAACACCTCTAGCAGAAAGTGCTATTGTTCTAAATGCGGTGTTTTTCTTGGCACTGGTATTTGTGATTAAAATGTTCGTATGCTTCTAACAAAAGTGGTTCTAGCAGAAGTGCTTATGAGCAGAAGTTTGCAGAATCATTTCCAAATTGCCCTTTGATCAATTGATTCAATTCATAACGCATAGTTAGCCTACCACAACAAAACCCTAATTTTCAAAATCTTAATCATTTGATTCAATTTATATATATATATATAAGCCATAGATGTGAATGAACCAACAAAGGACAAGTTGAACAAAACCCAGAATCCATTTTTATCAAAATAATTCATTCAATTAAACATACCGAAGAGCAGCCTCACGGGCAGCGTCACGAACTTCGGGCTTTTCGGTCCTTCGCTTCTGGATAACTTCCAATGTGGCACCAACAATGGACCTCGAATAGGGCTTCTTGGTCGAGCGGCGCTTCTTCTTCACAGATTCAGCAGCAATGTCCTAAACAGAAAATCACATCAGAGACAGATGAGCTTACGATAATATCCCTCATTCATCCATCAAACAAATCAACGATTCAAACCAAAACGCAACGTTTCACGGATGTTAGGGTTCTACCTTCTTGTGTTGCTTCCGGTACATGGCCGTCCAGGTGAGCTTGGAAGGCTTGAGGCGGTTGTGGAAGTACCTCTTGCATTTGGAATTGGCGAAGAGGAAGACCTGGGAATCGGAGCGGATGAATCGGATTCCCTTTCCCGGGTAAATCTTGTCGCCGCTGAAACGGCAGAGCTCCGTCTTCAGAACCATGGCTGCTCCTCCGCTGCTTCTGTGCCGCTGATGTCTGCTGCCGCCCCTGCTGCTGCTCGCTCTCCTCTGCTAAAATCTTCGACCTGTCCAAACTCTAAAACCCTAATGCCTCGGGTACCCAATTTAACGTCAACTGCCATAGGCGCTCGCTGTTTCCCCCGCCTAAGACGACACCGTTTTGGAAGCACTGGGCTGTTTTATAACTTTAATTTTGTAGTTTTGAGGCTCAGCCGGCATACGTATGTAGAAGCGTGCATAGACATTAGACGGTTCAATAGTTCACACACGTGTAGACAACTGTCTCTAGCACGCTTCTACGTACACAATAGTCAATCCCTCAGGGCTCAGGGTCTTGCCCAATTGGTGAGGTGAGCGAAGGGACGAATTAGGTTTAAGCTAGGTCAAAAGTTCGATTTCTTCCGCTACCAAAAAATAACTAATGGCTTCTTGAACTTCACATTTCGTCTAGAATTTGTTCATTAAATTATACGAGAAACAAGTACTTTGTAGCTTGTAACATGTATACCTTGGAAGGAAACTGAATATCATGTTTCAAATTTCCATTACTTAATAGTGTGCTTGGCAATTCTAGACAAACACAAAGAACTTGCACATAATCCATTTCTCCAGACAAAACAAAACGATTTCTGAATCGAACCCACAGTACAATACAAATATTCACCATCGAAAAGTCGCAGGTTCTACTTGTAGTTAATACGACCTTCTGTTTTTATGTTTCCTTCGCGGTTTCACGAACTAGGGAAAGCTTAGCCAGAAGACCACACATCTGAAGGTACGAGCCAACTCCATCACAGATTCTCATGTGAGCAAATCCAGTTTCCTGCAAACTCGCACGAGTAAAAGACTTGTCAAAACACAAGATCTCAGAAATAATGAGAGGGAAATCTCTGCATAGTGTGCATATGTACCTTCATGAACTCCAATTTCAAAAACTCAGCCATATCATAGTTTTTTATGATACGGAAAAAGGTTGTGATTATGTCTGTTGGGGAGTAACCCAGATCGTAGAGCTGCTTGAGACCCGAACAAGCATCATCAAATTTCCCTTCCAATATGTTGCGCACCATATTCTTTACATGCAATGGGTGAGGCTGGTCACAGACCTGTAAACCAAAGCAAATCCTTTAGGACTACCAAAGAACATACAAAAAAATAGAATATTTGAGGGTATTTTGTAAGTATGACCTTGAAAACATTTTCTTGGTTCACAAACCGGAATCCACTGTTTGTAGCTTGCAAGTTATTCAGTGCCTGCCTCATATCACCATCAGCGGTGAAAATAATGGCTTCAAGACCTTCTGGAACATATGGAACCTTCATTTACAGAAAACACAGAAGAATCATACACCACCCAAATTTCAAATATAATTTATATATGGCAATGGTTGATTGTGAAACAACTTTTGATCATTGGATGGAAAGGCTCAAATTATAGTGAATCTCAACAAGTGATGTATATGTTCTCGGAAGTAGGTAGAATTCCTAGGAAATTAAAACATCAAAGCCCAAGCAAAGAGATGCTTATTAAGCTTCATCTGGAGGCACAATTATTAAATATCTTCTGAAACACCGGTTGCAACCCTAGAGTTGAAGAGGCTAATTCAAATGTCAACCTAAAAACCAATATTAAGACTACTAGAAATTAGAAAGATAAGAAACTGGTTGCAAGGTTTTTTTTTCAATCTCTAGGCAATGATAGCACAAATGCATTGAAAAACACATGTTACCATGTTGTGCTGCAAGTGAGACACACTGACAGAGGAAAGGACTACGGACGACATGCAAATGTCATTTTATTGAGTAAATGAACAGCCTTCCGATAAACAAAATAGCTTAGCAAGGTTAGCATTTAAAGCTCCAGACGTAGTGAGGAAAAGAAATAAAGCTGAATAGATGGGGAAATAAATAAGATGGAATCACCGCAGAAGCTAAGCTTTGACAGAGAAAACATAATATGCTCTCAATAATAAACTAGTGTAGATAGATTAAAAAGAATTAATACAACCTAATAGTTAAGTAAAGTTGCACAAATACTTCTTTACATTTGAAGATAAATAATGACAGTATGCAGAAATGACATTACATACAATGTCAAGAAATTTCTTTACCTTCTCAGCTTGAACGACAATCATTAGGCGACCAAGTATCTCCTCATCAGTCAATCTAGAAAACCGGACAAGGGCACATCTACTCTGAATAGGCTCAATGATTTTGGAAGATGTATTGCACGCAAGAGCGAAACGAGTAGAATTTGAATATATTTCCATTGTTCGCCTCAAAGCTTGTTGTGCTCCAGATGTCATGCTGATTTGTGTACAATACACACCCAGAGTATTTCCGACACCAGTGCCAAACCCAAAAATTAATAATTAAACGAAGTAATGCAAATAACAATGTTGTAGCATCAAATAAAATAGAGAGATAAATGTTTTTTCTGTGATGAAAGAAATAGACAAAAGGATGAACAGCCATGCACCAAAAGTTAAAACTTATAACACATAGGCAGATGGATAAGAGCAATTTGAAGTTTTCAGATTGATTTCATGGAGAATATCACCAGGGTTACCTGTCAGCTTCATCCAATATGACAACTTTATGGCGTCCGGAAGGCAGTGTAACTTTCTTTTGAGCAAACATTTTAATTTTGTTCCTCACAACATCGATTCCCCTAAAGAAGAACCGACAGTAAAAAAGTTCATGATAAATCCCAATCACAGTTTAGAAACTGAATTCCATCAAGACCATTTTACATACTCACCTGTCATCTGATGCATTCAGCTCTAAAACAGCCTCCTTATAGTTTGGTCCCAAAAGCTCATGTGCAAGAGCCAGTATGCTAGTGGTCTTACCAGTTCCAGGAGGACCCTGAAAACAATAAACAGTGATCAGTCAAGGCATAGGTTAAGTAAATTTAAGCAACTATAACCTTCCCGCTTAGTTCACCAATAACCCTAAACACAAAACACCACCCCTCAAATAAGTTTAATAGCTCAGTATTGAGGAAATCTTTCACAATGCCATACGGAACATTTTGATAACCATTTTGTTATAAGTTTTTTGTGTTCACCTTTTGTGCTATAGATAGAGGAAAAGTAATAGGAGAAGGGAGAAATGAAGAGTGTGAAGGAGGATGGTGGTAAAAACGCAAAAGGGGATGGAGTGACATAAAATTTGATACCCAACTGAAGTTGCTTCTAGCATGTACCTCACTTCCACTCTGCGTAATATTAACAATTCATCAAATTGATGCAAATTCTAGTTAACCGGACAGAAATTTCAAATTCCTATAAGTCGTCACTGTTCTTGTTGAACAGGCGACAATAATTTCCCCAATTTCAAACTTATGAATACCCATGGAACCTGAGAACACAAGCATCCAACACAATGAATGGCCTTTAACCAATCTTCTCTCAAACTATTCAACTTCAAGTCTACAAATGCCAATTATGTTGCATAATTTATCAAATTGTCTACCAAATAAAAAAGCCCCATTCCTCTCCTCATATCCTAAAACCAAACTGAGCCCAGATGATATTCCAAAACTTCAAAACTACAATGCTCATTCGAATTTACCTCCACGAAAAGCAACCACTGCCTCAACGAATACACAAATCACAGACCACAACACAAAATTACAAAGAATAAATCCACATAATCAAGCTACAAATTCGACATTCCGCTAGGGTTTAGGGTTTTAGTAAAATTGAAAACGTTGGATTGGGTGCAGAAATGAGCGAGAAAGAAACGTACGGCTAAGATGAGGTTGGGCATGTTGCCGTCGCGAGCGATGACCTGGATTCTGGACACGGCGTCTTCGTTGCCCACAATGTCGGCGACCTTGGTGGGCCTGTACTTCTCCACCCACGGCATGTCGTAGGCTGACGAAGAAGAAGACAACGCCATTGCTGCTGCCGTCTGCTGATGGCTGCGACAGAGAAGGAGAGGTCGTGGCGGCTCGCGAAGAAGATGGACTGGAACTGAAAACCCTCCCCCGAACAGCCCTCTTTTTGCCTTATTGCTTCGATTTGGAGGGAAAATTGCCCTTCTGCTGTTTATTTCGAAGGGCTTGGAGAAGGTCCTATTTATTTGTTTCTAGGGCCTGAGCTTTTGATATTTACATATCCAACCCCACCTTTCTTCTTTTTTCCTTTTTTATTTTATTTTATTTTATTTTTTGGCACAATCCGTTGGCTGACCCAATGGGTTCGGATAATGATTTTTAGAATCCATTTTCAGCCATTCAAACATGTAACCCAACCCAACCCATTGTTATGCGGGTTGGATTAGGCGGGTTTATCAGTTTGGGCTTCATACTATTTTTTTAATAACAATTTTATTATTCTTTACAAACAAACATTAAAATCATTCAATCGGGTAAATCTAAATTTCCTTAACAAAAATGAACTTGAAATCTCAAATACTTTATTATTAAACTTAAAATCCGCGTTCCAAACTTCAACCATAAAAGAAAATCAACTTAACAATTCTATAATCTTAATAAAATTCAAAACTTAAACATAATGAAAAGCTTTAAGATAGTAGCAGTATCCATGAGCTTTGAGCAGCAAAGGTTGACGACCATCAACAATATTAGACAATAACTACGAATTTATTCCCAAAGTCAAAGGTCAAAAGCATTCAAAAGGGGTTGTAAGCCTACAATGGATTCCAAATGTTCATTAAATCATTAGTAAACCATAAATAACAACACAAAGCATTAGAATTTGGATAGAAGTTTACATTGATTAGTTCATAGAAATTGCAAAGTACCTTAAATTGACCATGTACTAATCAACAGTATCCATTTCAGATGTGGAGGCAACTGAAAGCTCTACACAACATATATAAATTAAAATAAAACAAGTCAGAAAGTATTTAATTGAAAAATGAAAACCAAATACAAGTTTAAATAGTTTGTTACCTGATATTATCTGCTCATGGATTTCCATCTCCTCAATGGATGATGATTCAACTTCTGAAAAGATAAGAGGTGACTTTAATCAGTTTTGAGTGCAAATCAGTGCCTCTACCATCTTAGGAGTCAGGGAACTCCTATAATCATCAAGAATACGCCCTTCAGTGCTAAAGGCAGATTACCAGTATTGCAAACACATCCCTTGCAATCTTAGCTAAAAGTAGATATTTTTCCTAGTGAACCTTCCACCATTTCCAGCATTTAAATTGCTTATCCATTGGATTCTCATGAGGTTCCAGTAAGAACCTATCCACCTCACTTCTTAACTCACCTCTATTTCTCTGTTTTCTTATCTTCAGAAATTAAGACAACCTTGCATCTTCAATAGAACTACTATCAGCAGCTTCCATTGGCGCACTGCTACTAGATGAACCAACATTAGGAGCTTGGGGAGCTTGTTCATTAGACTTCAAATAAAAGTCATAAAGTTGCACTAACACATCTTTAATACCATTAGTCAATTTAGTCACTTCATCTGCACCGTATATAAAACTGAAGCAAAATGAAACATAATCCGATTTAAATCTTGGATTAAGCACCATTGAAATAATCAGCAGCTTATTGACATTTCCCACAGAACCCTAATATTTATCTTACTTGGATTTCATACTAATGGCCATTTTTTGCAACAAATGATCACCACTGCTACTAAGGACTGTTAATTCTTGATGTATTGAGCACATCTCATGAAATGCAATATTGGAAGTCACAGTTAAAGATCCACTGAACTTGAGTATCACATCATAAAAGGTTTTCAAAAACCTAACAAAAATTGATGCATTATCCCAATCATCACTTGTAGGAGGAATATACCTTTTTTTTGCTCACCATGTATAAAGTAAGTAACAAAATGTCCATCATCTTCCTCCAGCCCTTCAAATGCTTTTTGGAACTTAAGGGCAACAACCAACATTAAATAGGTGGAATTCTACCTTGTTGGTACATCTAAAGCCACAAGACCTTTAGACTCTATTTTCACACGATCCTCACATTCCTTAAACTTCTTTAGCCTTGAAGGCGAAGACCTCACATACCTGAAAGCGAATCGAATTCTCAATATAGATTCATGCAATTCCTTTAACCCTTCAGACACAATCAGATTCATAATATGAGCACTACATCATAAATGCATGTATACACCATCAAGAACAAGAACATCAGTTTTCCAATTTTTCAGTTTCTTTTCACATAATTAACATCCTGATCATTTGCTGAAGCATTATCAACAGTTATAGTGAACACATTTTCTATTTCCCATTCAATCAAACAGGATTCAATCAGTTTCCTAATTGTTTCCCCTTTGTGATTTGGTACAGGGCAAAAATTCAATATGTGCTTATGCAAATTCCAATCACAATCAACAAAGTGAGCAGTTAAAACCATATAACTAATGTTTTGTGCAGATGTCCAACAATCAATGGTAAGACAAACTCTTTGTGCATTTATGGTCAACACATTTTTCAAAAGTCTCATCTCATCCAAATATAATTGAAACATATCTCTCGTAATAGTTCTGCGTGAGAGATGGGTACATTTTGGGGAACTAATACCACAGAAAAGCTTAAACCCTTCATTCTCAACAAAGCTAAAGGGTAACTCGTCAAGAACTACCATCTTGGTTAACCCAACCCTACAAGCTTCCTTACTAAAGCCAACTGCCATAAGGCTACCATCTTTCTCCCAAAGCTAAGGATTTTTTGTTTTTTGTCCTCAACCTTATGAGGATACCTTTTACATTGGTTAGACAAATGATTCCACAAACTAGAGGTCTCATACTTCTTAGTATCACAAGCATAACTCTTCTTGTCGTAGTTACAAGTAGCTCTAGGGTCATTGGGATCAAAAGATTCACCACCATCAACTTTGGTGAAGTGATCCCACACTGTGGACATTTTCCTACTTGGTTTTTTGTTCTTACCACTATCCACCAGTGGAGGAAGAGGCACTGATGAGTGGAGGGATGTAGTGGCGTAGAGAAAAACAATAAAATTATAGGGTTTTTATAGATTGAGAGAAGATGAGGGATCAATCTCGAAGAGGCCATAGAGAATAATCAGGGATGAAATTGATTCTTGCATGATTTTCCAACAGCTTGATTTCTGAACTTATGTCTGAGGGTTGGACGAAAAAAGGAGATTGAGTAATTGAGAGAAGAAATCATGTAAATGGGCTAACATATATCTATATTCGGGTGGTCGAGTTTTGACAGCTTTGTAATATTGCAACCCATGTAAGATTAGCCATGACTTCGGGTGGTCGGGTTTAAACCCGAGAATAATTTTTTGGGCTTTCTAACCGACCCAACCCAATTAATGTTAGATGGGTTGGTTGGTTGACCCGCACAAATGCCCACCCCTAATTACCAACAACAAAACTTTACATCACAAAGGACCAAAATTTACAACAAAAAGGCCCAAAAACAAAAAACACAACAACCAAAAGTTGAGACCGAAACAAGGAAAACTTAAAACAGCCAGTTTCGCTGCATCCTCAGTCATAACCATTGCTAGAACCACCAAAACAGCAGCCGTGCATGTCGATCCACATAAATTGTTACGCCTAATTAAGCCTTGCATCATCAATACCAGCATTTAATCCCAAGCTTCACTCCTAGCATAGCTACAAACAACAAAGAACCGGCAACCAATTGAAAGAAGCTTGTGGGATTCCACAAGCAACACTGCTAACAAAGGCAAACAACAAAGAGAATGTGGTGGTGCGAGGAACACCCAACCCACTGGAAGCACCAGATCTATACTCACCAACTCGGAAGACTGCAACAAATCGCGGCAAAGTGTGACTAAAGCTCGAAAATTGGATGAATATGGGTAAGTGACATCAAAGGGGAGATAAGAAGGCAAATCAGCTAAGAAAACTAGGGGAAAAACAACGGATAGGAGAAGAGAAAAAAAGAAAGAAACAAACAAAAGAAAACCCATCGATCTCAGTCGTAGCTAGGATCAGCGGCACCGGAATTGGACTTGATTGGAAACCACTCACACAGATCGGTGAGAATCATCCTAAAATAGAAGGAAGGTCTCTCACAATGATAGAAAGAGAGAGAGAGAGTTCCAGAAAGCCTCAGCCTATTCTTTCTCTTTTTTTTTTTTAGTCAAGCTAACTTTCTTATTCTAAACCTAAAAATTTGGTTAAAAACTTTCGAAAATAAATTAGGTTGAAATTGGAGTATTTATAAGTTTCGAATTCGATAGTTCTGACTTTTTGAGATGGTTTTGTATTTTGATTATGATTATTGTGTTGTAGTATATACTTTTAGGTATCAACATGTTGTTGTGGGGTTTGAAACTTTGTTTAACATGTGGAATGTCTCAAAAATATATGTTGCAGAGAGTAGTGTTACATACATATATTTGATCCATGTGTTTAGATGTTCCTTACAAATTATGTTTAAGGAACAAAAGTTAACAAAATTGAAATTTTGGTATGGCATAGCCAAAGAGTGTTATTTTCATTCATATATTACATGACAAGAATCGGAGATGTTGGTACGCAATTCCAGGTAGCATTTTATGTCCAAAACTATACAAAGTTCAAAACTAAGATTAGTTCTACTGAAGACACCCAAATCTGTAACTCTATTGATGGCGTCTCCTTCGTTCTCTATGACATCGTTGAACTGAAAATCAAAAGAAAAATAAAATAAAAAACAATTCAATCACTCAAGAATTATCACATTAAATTGCATATGAATTGAATCACATTTCTTGGTACACCTAGTTGCAAAACCAACAATGTAATCAAGAGAATCAAGATGTGAACGTTGAGGGTGGTAATGGTGTCAAAAATGGTCGTGATGGTGAGGCCAATATGATAGTGGCAACGATGGTGGTAGGGGTAGTGGTGTAAAAGATGATAGATGAGAATGTGGTGTTGTGGGGTGGCAGTGATAGTTATGATGGTAGTGAAGTGGTGATAGTGATAATAATACGGTAGTAGAGACATACGTGATTTTATTTTTTTTAATTAAATTTTGACTTTATTTTATCAGAGAAATGTGAGGGTAATGAGGTGTCAATGAGACGCAGCGTTGTATTACGAAACGCAACTGGTCATCTTCTTCGCAAGGACTGCGCCTCAGCCGCTGTTACGCCTCACGACCTCGACGCCCGCCTTCCAAAGAATTAACGTAATGGCGATTTGGGTAAGTTAATTGAACTACTAATATAGAGAAAAGAAACATCAAAATCCGCAGAAAGTTGAAGATCCATATGAAACATATTTGCAATCATAAAAATTGTAAATTATCAAGTCAGTAAATAATTGTCTGAATTACAACTTTACAGCACAACTAATTCGTCTATATTATACAATTAATATTCAATCCGATCCCATGAACTCCATCAAAATCATACACCAACTTGTCCAAGAAACCTCAACCGATCACCGCTGCTCTAATCAATGCGTAGTACATGCATTCAAGAGGCATCCCACCCGCCTCCCATACTTCACACGCTTGTTTGTGCGGTAGGGAGTTAAGTTACACATGATTTTTAGCACCATTATATTTATTAGTGGATGGAATTAGATCCTCTTTAGATCTCCTCACTGGGGATCCTGAGGATCAAGTGACATCAACCGCTCATCACAAATTGTATGGCCAAAGTTTTTTTTCTTTTTTATATTTTCAACAGTAATGCAGCCTAGTTTTGCATGAAAAATATAAAAAAGAAAAAATTGTGATCATACAATTTTTGATTAATGGTTGGTATCACTTGATTTCTGGGATGCCTAATGAGGAGATCCGGAGAGGATCAATTCCCTAGTGGACATCAAAACATTCCGACCGAATATGATGAAGATTATGTTGGAGGTTTTTTTTTTAGTTGTATCAACTTTTGCATGTGCTGCACAATGAAATGTTCTGCACTCTGTCCATGTTTGGATGGGATGTAAGTTAAGTTCTCTATTCGTTAAGAAGAGAAATATTAAGGAGACTTTAAAAAATAGAATTATTTATGGACTCTCCGTCACTTTATATTTTTGGCACAATTTTTGTGCCAACATTATAAAAACTTGTGCCCAAAACATAAGGTTGCGGAGAGTTTAGTTTTGAGAAAGTCTTATTTGCATTTTTCCTTTAAGAATGCACTTATGTACCCATGAATTTAAATGTGGGTGGAAGTGGAACCATTTTGGTAACTTCCTATGCTTTTACATTATGTCTCAATGAGAAAATTTGAAATGACTTGGAAATATAAAATAACCAATGAAAATTTTAAAATTACTTAGAATAATAAAATAATAGAATTAAAATGACGAAATTTTATTTTCTTAAAGTTAATTATGGAGACGATTGTTATAATAGTGAATGATGACAGCAGCGACAGAAAGACAACAATATTTGATGGTGGTGGCATCCATAGTGATGGTGGCAGCCACTTAATACATAAATTATGAATTTTTTTTAAATTCTCAATTTATTTTCCTCATCGAAATATTGTGTTATTTTACAAAAGAACCATTACAAAAATAAAACAAAAAAAAAAAAAAAAAGAAATAATTCGAGTTAAACTGTAAATACCAGACGAAACGTGTACGGTATGGTCAAATCAATTTTACCAAGCACTGGTCAAATAAACCAAGAAAACGGAGTTAAAATTCCAAAGCCGTGTCCGTATTCGAACGACGTTATCGTCATCGTTGGCGTTTGTCTTGTCTCCATCATCGTTCTCACCGCCATAGAACGATCAGAGCTCCCGCTCAAAACGCACCGTTTCGGAGATCCGCATGGGTTGAGCCGATTCAACTCACCGAGTCAGGGCATTCCATTCGACGACCTCGCAAGAAACTGAACATCCCCAAATTCTGATTCGAAACCGAAATGGCCTCGCCAAACCGATCTGCGGAGAACATCGTCGACACGACGCCGTTGTTGACCAACTCGGGCTGGTCGTCTGACGATTCGAACTCGGGGCGCCAGCGATTGGTGCGCCGACAGAGCCTGCAGCAGGCCGCGCGGTTTCTTCGCCAGGCCAGCAGCCGCCGCCTCATGCGCGAGCCGTCGATGCTGGTCCGCGAGACCGCGGCAGAGCAATTGGAGGAGAGGCAGAGTGATTGGGCGTACTCCAAGCCGGTGGTGGTTCTCGACATCATCTGGAACTTCGCCTTCGTCGTCGTGGCGCTGACGGTCCTGGTTCTGAGCCGGGACGAATTGCCGAATGTGCCCCTGAGACTGTGGATCGTGGGGTACGCTGTGCAGTGCGTTGTGCATATGGTTTGTGTTTGCGTCGAGTTTCGGAGGCGGCAGTCCCGGCAGAGAAGCCGGTTTTCGGGGGTGAATTCTGCGGAGGAAGGGGTGGGGAGTGTTGGGAATTTGGGTTCTGGGTCGAGAGAGGGGGATTTGTCATCGCAGTACGTGTCGTTGGCTGATCATATGACTGAGGAGGGTACCAGGTAACAACGTTAGCTGTGCTTCGCAATTGTAATGTTTGTTCTTTTATGTGGTGTTTGTTTGTGGGTTGCTGTTAGTTGCTGCAATTTATGATTCGAATGCGCAAATGTTGCTGGAATAATGGTGATATTTTTATTTTTTATTTTTTATTTTTTATAATGTTTTTGCTGTCTTTGGCATTGTTGTTCATGCCATTTGATTCTTAGTAAAAGTTACTTTTACTTGTAGCTTGGTCCCAATCTCTTTGAAACCAATAGAGGGATCGGTATTTATGCGAAATTATGATGTAGAGTAGGGAATTAGTTAAATGAGCCTTTTTGCGTTTACGGATTGCTGATGGCATCGGTTTTCTCTCGTTTGAAGCTCTATAAATCTGAAATTTTGTATGCTACCTGTCTGTTAGAATCGGTTATTGATGATTGAACTGGTTTTGTACTGGGATTGTAGGATGCTGTCATATTTGGAGCCAGTACTGTGTGAAAAGTTGATGACATATGCTGTTATTTGTTACGTTTATCGTAATTTCATATCTTCTCATTGTTTTTGCTTGTATCTTTCAGCAGCGTTGCTAAACACCTGGAATCTGCAAATACAATGTTTTCGTTTATCTGGTGGATCATTGGGTTCTATTGGGTATCGGCAGGTGGTCAATCTTTAGCAAACGCCTCCCCGCAGCTTTACTGGTTTGGGCTCTCTCTTTCTCTCTCTCACTCTCCCACTCTCATCCATTTATTTGAAATCAAGGATAAACTCTTAACTATGGCAATGTGGCTTTGTCTGCAGGCTATGTATAATCTTCCTGGGTTTTGATGTGTTTTTTGTCGTTTTCTGTGTTGCGCTGGCATGCATCATTGGTATCGCGGTTTGTTGCTGTCTTCCCTGCATTATTGCACTTTTATATGCTGTCGCAGATCAGGTAGTTCTCATGCCCAGTTATCTCTCTTTTCTGTGTGTGGGGCTGTGTTGGTTTTCATGTTCATAACTATTGGTGTTTTCTGTCATTGCCACTCCGTAAGTTAGGTGAATATTGCCGTAGTACTGGTTTATAAGTACTAGACTAGAGGCTTGACAAATGAAAGCGGAACCTGACACGTTCTATATAATTCTGCGATAGCAAACTTTATTTACCAAATATTTGATAATAACAAAAATTAGTTGAATCTTGTTAATGTGAACAGAAATTTTGATGTATTAAGATTTTTAGTTGGAGAATCTGGACTCTAAAATGGGACCCAATTGTATGGGCTTGCTTCCGGTTTAGCATAACTTTATGTGGGGTGGGTTGGAAAGTTCAGTTCTGATGTTTTGTATAGAAGAAAGTTTGCGGATGGCCTTTATCAGCTCAAAATAACGGGCAAGTTCCCGTGTTGGTAAAACAGTTTGCACTAAATTAAACCATTCCTTTCTTTCATTAACTGTTAACTTTCATCACCTTAGAAATTATCAGGTATATCCTTCTTAGAATTTGATACTAATCATAGATGGTTGAATTTCTTGGTGTCTCCGTGAAGCACCCTATGTAACTATTAAGATTCATAGATCTCTTCCTTCTATTGATATATGAGGTTTACCAAACTTGATGCATAGTAGTTTCTCTTGGAGCGCTTTGGGGATGAAAGATTTATTAATATTATACTAATTTGTTTCATTTAGTAAATTTTCTGGCTCTCTTTTAGTTGCATCAAATTTATTGGGCCTGACAAAAATTTGATGGGAATGTGCTTGATTTTTGTCTTAACTAAAACTTGGAAGTAATTTGAATTATTAATTTACGGAAGTGTAGCTGTTAGCTCTTAGCATTAATATCAATGGCATTCTTCTTGTCCCCGTATTATGTTTGTGTGACCTGCTATTGAAGCAGGATGGAGCATCTAAGGAAGACATCGAGCAGCTTCCAAAATTCAAATTCGGAAAAGTTGGTAATGAGAAAGTTGCCGGCGATGGACAAGGTGGAGGAGTAATGACTGAATGTGGTACAGATTCACCCATTGAACATGTTCTTTCTCAGGAGGATGCGGTAAGTTGCTCTTGATTTTTGACTTATAGTCTTGTTTACTCTCTTGCGTTCTTTTAGCAACGAGGATTTTGTCTACGTCAGCTGTCATAAAGTTGGTTTTGTTTTGTATTCGTGTCACAAATGGACTGTTCAAAAAATTCTTCTCACATCAGTTAGATGATCATTGCAATTTACAGGAGTGCTGCATCTGCCTTTCTTCTTATGACGATGGAGTGGAACTGAGGCAACTTCCTTGTGGCCACCATTTTCACTGTTCCTGCATTGACAAGTGGCTTTTTATCAACGCTACCTGTCCTCTCTGCAAGTACAATATCTTGAAGAGTAGCAGCCAGGATCAAGGGGAAGTTTAAAATTCTTCTCGTCATAGACTTATGCTTGGGCACGCTGCAGAATTACATACAAATTCGTGCTCCAGACTTGAGTGTAATCATATGCAAAGCTTGGCACTGAACTCAAAAGCAGGCTTTAGACGTCCTGCTGGAGGGTAACCAAATGCAAAGCTTCGCCCTCGACACACTGCAGGTCTTCTATATTGTCATTGTTGATGTTGTTTGCTGTTGTAGAGTAGGCATAGCAGTTGTCATTGATCTTGTCGGCGTAGTAGTGACTATGACAACAGCACATCGTTTTCGTTGTTGCCCTGGCGTTCTTAAGGTGCCTTCTGTACATGGGTGTTGCCAGGGCATTTACACGGTAAATTATATATATATATATATATAAACAAACTGCTTTCGAAAGAAAGTTCACTTGATTGTGTAGAAATGTGTTATCACAAGTTAGTAAGATTATTTACTGACCGGACCATTCCATGTGCTTGCAAATTACAGTCGTGCACATCAAGGTCGTAACAAGGCATAAATCCCAATGTCTACTTTTGTATGGCACTTAAAAAGGGCTGCTATATCAGAACACGGAATAATTTTTTGGTGTGATCGTAACTACTGTAGTGTTGTTACTCGGTTTGTTTATATTGCAACACGTAACACGCGTTCGTATAAACCAAGTTTTGTTGAGTAACGAAACGAAGAAAATGATCATGAGTCAATTGTTTATGAAATAAACTTGACCTGAACAAAGATGTATCCCTTTATTCTTTTGCCTCTCATCACGTAAGAATAGACCGAAACCGAAATTGATGAGAGGCAAAATAACATGGGGATATTTTCGGAACCTGCCCCGTTCCTTTTTTTATAGAATTTCTGGACCCGCCCCGACTGGGCGTCCAGCCAGTTTGTCCACTGCAAGTTAGATGCCCTATCACAATCAAATCAATTAAACAAAATGATAGGATTGGGGGATTGAAATGATAGTAAGTTAAACCCACCAATCTGTAAAGTTGTCATGGATCTTATCCAATGAGGAAATATAAAGGGTGGTGCTATTTTCACACTTTTTTTTATTATCTTTTCTACACTTTTGTTAATTTTTGTCAACTTTTTTTTTTTGTCAGTTCGTTCAATACTATGAGCAAAATTAAAAAGTGTATTTAAGAAGTAAAAATGAGTGTGGATTGCACCGCCCAAGATGAATTGCCAATGTAGTGAAAGTCAATTGATTGGATTTGATGAGCTTTTAATCTTTACATTTGGAAATACTAGACAACTAGTGGCTGTTTTTGTTTTTCTAACGTCTCGACCACTACTACTTATTAGAAAGAAAATTGCAAGAAAGTTCTCCTCACTCTCGTCATTGATTTGATTCAAGTATCAATCTTTTCACGACATTGGGCATTTTGATGTGTACCCCTAGCTTCTCCACCAGGAAAAAACACAACAATATATTTGTTTGTCAAAAGTGAGATTCTTTTTAATATAAAAATATTGGGAAAACGAGAAATCAAATATAGAATCTCGGTGTAGCGTAATATTCTAGAGTAATAAGCTAGCTCAAGGAAGGGAATCCTTACGCTATAACCTAAGAAATACTGTGGAAATATGAATTTTATATAGAGCTCTCAAAATAGATTTAGTACTCTAATATTTTTATTGCATGCTCCTTTTGATTTTTCCAAAATTTCATTTCAAGTGAAACTAAATTTATACCAAATCAATTTACACTTGCTAAACATAGGAATGCATTTTTTCAAAACATTTGAAATAAACAACATTGTTTTATCAACTAGCTTGTAATCCAAGTTCAAATCTTCATTTCTCGTTGTTAGTTAAAAAGAAAAAAAAAAAGATTTTACGTGAATTTATAAATAAATTAAGCTCATCATATTTTTCGTCGTTTCCAAATAAGGTAATAATAATTTCTCATCTCATCTCCAGAAAGTAGACATAAAAGTTACATTCCCAAAAAACCAAACAACTAAACGCGACCAAAGTAAAGACGTGTTGGGTTCATCCAAGTGTGTGGTTTTAGTGCAAATTATTGACATGGTCCCATCCATCTGCCTCTTTACAACCAAAACCCATGTGACCTCTCCGACCTTGACGACTCACAGAGCACTCACCCAATGGTGGCGGTAGGGTTGTGACAGGCGTACCAATGACTGTACCACACATACCAAAAGCCGTTGCAGTGATTGAGTTTAAGGGCCGGTGATCGGTGACCGGACCCAAATTCTCCAACTTCACAGAAAGGTTCACAATCCCATTAGTCCTGGAACCGTCCCTAGCCCGTAGCCGGTAACTCAAGAACCGTGCCGAACTGGCCGGCGGGAACCCAATATCATTCGCCGGGATTTGGCACCAACCCAGCTGAACCCGGCCCATTATGAGCCTCTTGGTGAAAAGCTGGAGACATATGCAAGAATACCTGTTGTTGAAGAAAGTTGTATCAATAGGGACGTGAAATTTGTCTCCCCACGTAGGGTTGACGCCTCCTTGGTCATCCACCCTTGTTTTGTACACGTGGAGGGTGCGATCACCGTTGGTTTTGGGTGTGCATGGCGGAGCAATAGTGGGCTGGAGAGTGGTGAGGGTGATGAAGGGTCTGATTTTGTTGGAGAATAGAGAGGGAGATGGGGTCTTCAGACCTTGGGCTGATAGCACTGTGATCTCCATCTTCATCAGTGACTGGTGGTTGTGCTGCTTCAACATGGTGACATATACATATACAATATATAAATATATATATATATATATGTTATATATATTGAGATCTTATATATATTGGACTTGGAGGGTGTCTATATATAATATATGGGTATGTGTGTAGCAAGCTGTATATATTTATTTGATAAGGGAGGTGGATAAATATTTAAGAGGAGAGAATTATTGGGAGCTTCAAGGCTTCTTACAGTGCAGTTTCCTTGTGGGGGAAATAGATATGGAAATTTAAGGCATGTGCAGCAATGTATGACTCAGACTTGCTCACACTGAGGAAAGCAAAACAACGGAATTTTCCCGCTTGTCAAGTCAACTTGAGTGAGAGGTTTTTGTGCTTGTTTTGATGTTTTCATCCTATACACACGCGGTCAATAGCGAAAGTGTCCTAATCGTTGTTTTTACGTCACTCAATCATAACAAAAAAGTACATTTTCAACCTTAGTAAATATAATAAATAAGACGTCATTTAATAATACAATCTAGCTAGTAGTATTTCTTTCTTTTTGTAAGTAAGATGTATTAAATTCGACTCTTATAGAGGACCAATTAAATCTTTTTCAGGTCTTCGAATGGTAAAATGCTCTTTCAAGTAGCATCATCTCAAATCTTGACCTCTCCTCTATTTCCTCCCTCAAGAGGTTCTTATTCCATGCCCTTGTTTGCCCGGCCTTACCAAACCTCCTAACATTCCACACCAAGCACCAAACACTATCACTCTAATATCGAAAACTTGAATCATATACACTACTAAGGCAATCTCCAACTATGGAGGGCCACATAGGCCTCACAAATATAATTTTTTTAGGAATAGTAACAAACTAATTTTTTCCGTCTTTAACCATATTGGCTAAATATTACTCTCTATATTTTTGTTACTTTTTAGCATGCCCAATTACCTTTTCACCATGTCATTAACTAAAAAGCTCAAAAAGAAATGCCTATGGCCATCTCCAATGGAAGGATGGCCAAATGGTTTCCTCTAGCCCTGTAGTTCTGCAAGAAATTATATTTTAATGAACAGTGTCAAACCATATTTTATACCATCTTCAACCGAGGGGGCCAAAGGGCCATAGGCTAAACATAATTTATTATTTCAATTGAATTAATATGGTTACTTAAATTAAACTACCATATTAAAATAAGGTTTTCGGACATATTTTGAGTGCCACTTGTCACCAAATGAATAAGTCTCCGGATTTCTTATCTTTATACAATCTTAAAATTTTTTTAGATAGGATTTCGAGTGACATGTATCGCTAACGTGAGTAACTCTCTAGATTTCTTATCTTTATGTAATCTCAATAATTTTTCGGATAGGATTTCGAGTGCCACATGTCACTAAAGTGAGTAACTCTCTAGATTTCTTATCTTTATGTAATCTGAATAATTTTTCGAATATGATTTCGAGTACCATGTGTCGAGATGTAATTGGTTGTGCAAATTTTAGATAGGATTCTTATATAAGTGACATTTCTCATCTTCAGCTTCTAATGTTAATAAATTGGCTGGATATTGGGGTAGAATTCACACACCTTCATTTTTGCCATCTCCAATATCTTTTTCAATTTAAGTTTGCAATGAATTCCAACTTTGGATCCTCTTCGTATTCCAACTGGGGGTCCTTATCCAATTCTAAATTGGAAGATAAATGGGCACAAATGAGATGAGAATATGAGAAGTCCAATGAAGAAGATGAAGTATGGCGTAACACAACATATATGGCAGCAATGGCTGAGGTCATGGTGTGTGAGGAAACTGAAGAACAACCTCAATGGGGTGGCTCTATTGTTGGTCGCTCTTACAAATCACGAAAAAGAGAGATGGCGCATGAGACTCTAATGAATAACTACTTCAACTCCAACTCAGTGTACATAGAAGTGGATTTCAGACGTCGCTTCCGGATGAGGTGTCATGTCTTTGAGTGTTTACTTCATGATGTCCAACATATCAATTTATACTTTCGACAGAAGATGGATATAGCAGGCGGCCCTAGTTTTTCACCTCATCAAAAGGTTACTATTGCACTTCGAATGCTGGCCTATGCCTCCCCAGCTGATGAGATGGATGATACATATGGTATATTTGAGTCTACATACCTTATAATTTTGCTGAATTCTGTCATATATTTGTTCAGATTTACAAAGAGGAGTACCTCCGTGAACCAAATCAAGCATATCTGCCTCAGCTTATTTGCAAAGCTGAAGACTGTAGCTTTCCAGGCATGATAACGTCATTAGATTGCATGCATTGGCAGTGGAAGAACTGTCCCATCGGATGGCAATGAGGATTTAGCAAAAGATCTAGAAAGCCAACTATTTTGTTAGAGGCGGTTGCCTCGTTTGACACATAGATCTAGTATGTTTTCTTTGGAGTCCCAGGATCTCAAAATGACATTACAATACTCAGGCGATCACCCTTCTTTACTAACCTAACGGAGGGTAAATCACCTCAACTTGATTACTACATCAATGAGTGTCAGTACAATATGTGGTATTACTTAGCAGATGGCATCTATCCAAAGTGGGCGACACTGGTCCAAGCAATTGCAAACTCGTGGATGACGCCCAAAGGTGGTTTAACTTACACCAAGAGGCATACCGGAAATATATTGAGAGAGCTTCGTTATTTTACAAACACGGTGGAAGATCATTAAGGAACCAACAAGAGGGTGGAGTCGAGATAAATTGAACTCCATCATGATGTCGTGCTTCATATTACACAACATGATTGTGGAGGATGAGTGAGATGGCT